TTTTCGCCGTGTTTCAGTTGCTGTTTTTCAATATGAACTCGAGGCGAGGATAACGCTCAAAGCTACAACCTATTGATCGTGACAATCTAAATATTCTTCTCTCTAGTCGCGGTCAGAAAATGTCTAAAGACTTTTCTAAATTCTATACTAGGTCAGATCATTGTCTCAAATCTTACAAAATAAATGTGACGGCATAAACAATGATGCTCGACTTCATGAACATGAAACCATGTAATTACAAAGTACTCAAGCTTACCGGTCGAGATGCAGCTCGTGATAGCCATCAAGTAAGGCCAGAATCGCTTAAGATTTGTCAACCCTCTTACGCATCCAAAATGATGATACAAAACTCCGTCGGCTTCAGCCATCACTAAACAAGTCTCCTGATGCAGCATAGACAATTCTCTTCGGCGATCCTCTTCGCTTGATAATTCTCAATCTCGGCCTTTCTCATCTTTCTCTGAGTTCCCGTCGCTCTTCACTTATAGGCAAATAGGTTGAATTTAATCCGCTGTTGTTTGTTGCCATAACAATTTTTTCGACGGTTACGGTCACAAAATCCTTATGCTATTAAACAAGTTTTTGAACGAGACGACAATGGTTACACCATTTCTTGCGCCGCGCGATTTCCCGCCAAGAGAAAACGCACAAATACACAAATGGTGCACAAATACATCGCACTTTTTCCCGCCGACAAAATATAACATACTCCTCCCCCCGACGGGCGGACAGCTGATTCCCATCCCTCACCCCCAAAGGACGTACGGAAGGACGGAGTACACTGACGTCATAACCAAATTTTCTCGGATGGGTAGATAAGTAAATTTTCTTACTCGTGGTGCTCCGCTGCACTCGCTCGCGCGGGCGAGAGAGCTCTGCTATAATGTTTCAGACCGAATTGGACTTCACTCAATCCTATTACTATTTATTTGCTTATGTATTAATATCTTATTATTATTATTATTATTATTATTAGTGGTATTATTATGACAATTATTATTATTTTATTTCATTAATCATCATATAGAATGTAGCCTACTGTCTTTCTTACAATCATTCAAATCACTTTCATAGCCAACTTATGTGGTAATGCGTTCAAAGACAAATAATTTAACTGACCTTGAAAAGATGAAGAGCTGTCGAACTCATGACCAGATGATAAAATTCTCTGTCCGATCACCAACCGACCTCCAGAGGGAATATTTCTTGAAACATTTATCACCTCATTACCCAAAATCCCACGCCCATCGTCCAGGAAAAGTTCCTGTCGTCCACTTGAGGCTTGTGATGTCAAACATAAGTGATGCCATTTGCCGTCATTTAGAGGTGTAATGTAGAACATGCTGCTTGGACAAAACGTTTTAGTGTTCACAGTTTTGCTTTTCTCGTTCTCATTAGTATCATTAAGAAAAGTTGACAATGCAATGGTCTGATGTATACATGTACCTCTTATTAGCCTAGTTTTTTGGGTCCGTACTGTAAATCCGTAATTTACATTACGGACCGGAAAAAAGAGGCTAATAAGATGCTTATTACATGGCTTCTTGTTTGGGGGACCGGAAACAAGTGTAGAACAAGCGATTTGACAGTCATTTGACAGGCGTCACAAAATGAAACGCTTTTCATTGAAAGTAAAATCAAAATGTTAATGCGCCATGTTGAAAAAGTTTATTTGGTCAAAACTAAGAGCGATGTAAGTATTCGCTCGCCAAAATATGTGACGCTGGAGTCTTTTACATTGTGACTTGCTCGAAGTCTTCATCTTTCTCTCGTTGGTCTTTAAAAAAAAAACACTGCACATAGCAAAGAAGCTTGTTAAGATGATCAGGTGCAGGTATGTTTGTTATCATATTTGTCGAAGGAATCGCTCGTTTTCTCTAAGGCAAAACGTCCCGAATCTCCACCAGTCGATTTTCAACTTCTTAACAGTGTACTGCGATAAAATTTTCAGGTAACTCACTAGAATTCTCTTCTTCGATAACACTACTATTCCGTTTCTACATCGGCATCGTTCATAAATAAACAACGGTTAAAATGTTAATGTTAAGTCAACATTCAAGCCCTCAAGGTTGACAGACGTCTTATAACTTTCTTGTAACCTATTGTTGGTTTTCACATGACGTCACTAAAATTCAAACTACAAAACTATCGATCTTACTGAGATTTTACTTTCATGGTGTATTAGAGCAGCTGAAAACTAATTTTCAAACAAATTTTCGCTTCAAAAGGGTTCTTGGTTTTGTATTAGGTACGCTTGAATTTGTAAGCTTTTGCGTGACGCAGCATTTACATGACGGCCGAGAGAGCTGTCATTTAGGTTAAAAAAAGGACTTTTTTCAAGGAATTTTGCCATCTAAACAGTTCAAGTATTAGAAAAAGTATTACTTTAATGTTTATGCGTTCCTCTAGGAGTAAATTCACGCTTTTGTAGCAAAACTCGGTAACAGAAATTTCTGTTGTTTCCGTCCGCCATGTTGGAGCTCATCCGGATGAGCTCCAGCATGGCGTCTCCATACAAAGCTCTATAAATCTGGGTAAAACATTTCCTCGGATATCTCGTATACGAATTATTCCTTCGACCCAAATCTTGGCGAGGGTCTCTGTATATTTACCTCATTTGATTTCCCAGATTCTGGACTTTATCTGTCGAATGGTTTTGATTATTATTTTGATCTCTTTTGAACGGCGTGACACTGAAAACCAACAATTTCTTATAACTATTTCTTATTTCTTATACCCTATTTCAAGATAAGACGATTTAGAGCTGCAAAATGAGCATTTGCTTTTGACATTTTTTTGTCTGTATAGCAAGTTAATACGGACCGCAAATTGTTGCATGGCAAAAACAGACAGCAATATAATAATTAACAATTATTCGTCGAAGGCGAAGCTGATAATATTTGTTATTATATGGCTGAGTCTGTTTTCGCCATGCGATTGGTAGATTTGGCCCTCCGTAACTTGCTATACGGACCAAAATTTCAAAGAAAATGCTTATTTCGGAACTCTAAATCTCTTTACCTCGGAAAAAAGTTGAAGTAAAGTTTTAAGACGTCTGTCAACCTTGAGGACTTGGATGTTGACTATGTCCTTCAACATTTTTTCCTGCCTTCGCGCTTGGGCCATAAATCGATGAAAAAAAAAACGAGGATACGTAATTTACAGTACGGACGGCTAATAATATTTATTAGTATATACACACGAAGTATCTCGGTGAATAGCCGGTGAGTGGCTTTGGGAATATTTACCTCGCCGCTTTCGCGGCTCGGTAAATATTTAGCCACTATTCACCTTTATTTCAAAGAATAATTGTTAATTATTCATTCAAAATGGCTTCTCCTTTTCTGGTTGGCTAAAAGCACAAACATAATTAATCATAACCAGCTATTGTTGACCAAACATGGAAGAATTTTGTCATATTGAACCGATGACGTCAAAAGTGTAGCCAAAGTTGCAGATTATTGAACCGTTACCGAGCTGTTTTGGTGGTGAGAACAAAATGGCAAACAGTCGGCGAAACATGTTACTCGTTTCACGGCGAAATGTTGTCTGAAAACAAGCAAGAACAGCAAAAAGACCACTCGACGGACGACATCAACTATTTGGAGTATATTTGCAGGCCTGAACAGACCTTTATACCCTAAATTTCCCGATAAAGATTACTTTCGATATGAACTACATTGACCGGGGTAAGCAAGTTTTAGCTTGTTTTCAAACTTGGAATTATTTAGAATGAATAATAAAGCAATTAATGAATTCGGCTTTCGTAGGATATGAAGAATTCCTCAGCTCTCGGAGGGTGTTATCCACCTCAGCCTTCGGCCTCGTTGGATACCACCCTCCTTAATCTGCAGAATTCTTCATATCCTACTCAACCTCAGTCAATAATTGCTAAATAATCCCCGAGACGAAGTCAAAAATATTAACTGAGCCTGAGGTGAATAATTGTTTTAGTATATAAACACGAAGTGATCTCAACAGAATCAGAAAGAAAACCATTAAGAAAACGTTAGTTTGATTGACGGGTGATCTCATGTGTGAACATGTAACCGTAAACAGTAGATGCTCATCCACCAAACTGATTCTCCCACTCCAGCGGGAGGGGTTGCTCTTTATGTCAGTAAAGCTTTAACCTCATTTCTAAGGTCAGATATAACTTTGGATATGCCTCTTGTGGAATCTGTTTGGGTTGAAATAGCTACTCCCAAAAACCAAAAACCCATCTTGGTTGGTTGTATCTACAAACATCCAGGTGCGAATATTGATGAATTTAAAGGGAAGCTTAACAATGAAACTATTTAACCCAAACAAGTACCAATTGTATATCCTTGGTGATATGAATATAGACTTTTTTTAAATGTGATAGTCACCCACCTACAGAGGCTTACCTTGACATGCTGTATTCCAATAATTTATTACGAATTATTACTAAACCAACACGTCTGACCAATCATTCAGCTACATTAATTGATCATATCTATACCAACAGTACATCCACAATTGTCTCTGGGATTGTAATGGTGGATATCTCTGATCACCTCCCAGTTGTCTGTGTTACAAATATACCAGTTAAGAAACACAACCCTATTAAGTATTATCGAGATTACAGCAATTTTGATCAAGAATCTTACTTACAGGATATCAATGCGGTCAACTGGAATGCTATCTATAATAATAATGATCTGCATGAGACAGCTACTAAAATAACTGACCTGATAAAATCAGTTGCAGATAAACATGCATCAATTAGGCAATTGTCCCAAAAGAAACAGAAATTATGTACTAAGCCGTGGATAACTAATGGTATTCTTAACTCAATCAAAACTAAGCATAAATTATACAAAACACACTTTCTTTCTAACAATCCAATTAAGGTGACAGAATATAAAAAGTATGCTAACAAACTGAATTGGCTTAAGAACATTTGCAAAAAGAACTACTTTTCACAACACTTTGACCTATGTAAAAACAACCTGAAGACATCTTGGAAATTGATTGGTATGCTAGTTAAGCGCAACTCAAAGGGACAAACCTCCATCTCAAAAATTAAACGTAATAATAGAGCTTACACTAATAAGGCTGAGATTGCCGATCAATTTAATAAGCATTTTGTCAATGTGAGTCAAAACCTGGCCAAAAGAATTGAAAATTGTGATGGAAGTCCGACCCAATTCATAAGATCGACTCCAGTAGCTAGCTTTGTTATGTCCTGTGTTACTGAAACCCAAGTATGTCCACTACTTAAAGGTTTAAATGATCATAAGTCATCCTTAGATATTCCTAATAAATTAATTAAAATAGCTGCCCAGCCATTGTCAATACCTTTAACATATATCTATAACCAGTCTATTGAAACTGGAATTGTTCCTGATATTTTAAAAGTCTCACAAGTTTCCCCAGTGTATAAGGGTGGTGATGCTACAGACCCTAGCAACTATCGGCCCATAGCAACTCTCTCCCCTTTTAGTAAGGTGCTCGAGCGTCTAGTCTATAATCAGTTATATTCGTTCATAGATAAACATCAAATCTTGTACAAATATCTTTTTGGATTTAGGAAAGGATATTCCACTGAACAAGCTATTCTTGAAATTACTGACAATCTGAAGCTAGCTACTGACAAAGGTCAAATAACATGTGGTTTATTTCTGGACCTATCAAAGGCATTTGACACAGTATATCATGAAATACTGCTCTCTAAACTATATCTGTATGGAATTCGGGGTACACCACATAATTGGTTTGAAAGTTATTTGCACAATCGAAGACAATATGTTAAAACTGACTCTACTAAATCTAGCTGTGAAAATATTACCTGCGGTATACCCGAAGGCTCTATGTGAACGACTTACCAAACTGTATCGACAAACTTTCGGTGCGGAGCTTTGCTGATGACACCAATTTATTTTACTCTAGCGACAACTTAAAGCAGCTTGAATCCGTAATGAATCAAGAGCTTAAACAAATTTATAACTACTGTGCTCTAAATAAGTTATCTATTAACACTGCAAAGACCAATTACATGTTAGTCTCATCATCTAGATGCCACCCAAAGATAAATATCACTGGTATTGAACAGAAAGATTACATAAAGTACTTGGGAGTTTATATCGACAAACATCTCCATTGGCAACCACAGATACAACATGTAAATAATAAATTAGCTAACAATTTAGGAATCCTTTCAAAACTAAGATATTACATAGATCTGAATATACTGAAACAAATTTATTATGCTTTAATATATCCCTATTTGAGTTACGGTATTCTTGCTTGGGGCTGTGCCAGCAAAACCAGATTAGATTGTCTACGTATTAAACATAATAAATGTCTCCGCACCATCTTCTTTGTACATCCTAGAGAGAGTGGTTCTCCCTATTTCAAACTCCTAACAATCCTTAAATTAGATAATATATATAAATTAAAAATATGTTGCTTTATACATAGAATGAGAAACGAGACTGATAGCATTCCAGATATTTTCCTTGATGTCCTGACTCCAGCATCGCGTATACATAACCATAATACAAGATTTGTCAGTAATCTGAACTATTTAAGGCCAATAGTATCCACCAACTTAGGTAAGACGTCCTTTAAATTCTCCGCTCCAAAAATCTGGGAGACTGTACCGCCTGGTCTCAAGTGTCTGCCATATCATAAGTTTAAGAAAGAATGGAAGTCCTGTCTTCTAACCAACCAAATCTGACCTTACTTATATGTTTTATCACTGATTTTATTTGAGATTTTATTCCTCTCCTTACTGCTGCCAATTATTTCAATATGACGGTGTCCAACAAGAAAGCTCTTGCTACTTTGGACACCGTACACAAATGGACTTAATATTTTTTAGTTAATTATTATTTGTAGCTACTTTATTTTCCTACTATGTACACTTATGTAAATATCTTGTATAGTGTGAATAAAGAATTGAATTGAATTGCGCAAAAGTCAAATCCTTACAGTATCTTCAAAGATGGCAAAACAGTATTAATCTTTTTGTAAGCTTTAGCAAGAAAGCGTCGAATGTTAAATTTACTACCCATTCTGAGAAGAAACGTAGAACTTTATTTGCTTTTGTCTACTCACCGTGATCGAGAAAGTTTTTATGTCGTTTCTCGCAAAGTAATGCAGTCAACAGCGGCTACGATCGAGGTGAGCGTTGTTCATGTGCAGTGTTCTTTGCCTTGTTAACTGGCTGGCATGAACATTGTTGAAAAGATTTGCCTTCTTTTTTTCCTCCATAAATAAACTTCTATTTATAAGACAGAATTGCATGTCTTGCGAGGAAATCCCGAGTTCAGAAAACAGTGACAAACCAGCGTCGTCAATTTTGATCTGTAGTAGAAAACATTGCTTCGAGCGTATAAAAGTCAGTGACAGCAAATCACTTCACAAGAAATGAAGCTGTTTAAACACCATAAAGTCTTGTTTTACCTTCAAAATCATCGACACCAGGATATTCTCGTATTTTCAAAAAGTTCTTACTCTGACACTTTGGCAAAACACCCAATTCACGACAGTGATTTTGTTTTGCTTTATATTCACCTCCTAGTAGAGCGGTGAATATTTAACAATTATTCCTCGATCCCGAATGGCCTCGGAGTCAATTGACTCATAAGCCATGAGGGTGTGAGGAGTAATTCTTTTCGTAAAATCCAACTAGTTGGTCAAAAGTATCGAGACGAAATAACTTTAGCGAGCAAAACGCGATTCAGCTGTCATTGTTTTGGTTTTCAAAGCCGGCGCTTTTCGCTACTAGTGGGCTATAACATATAGCCTAGTACTGGCTCAACCAATCAGAACGCAGCATTGATAATAGACCACTAGTTGGATTTTACTAAAACGTCATAGTCTGAGATAGCGAACCAATCAGATTGCTTGAATCACCAAGATCACTGAGCGTGTATATACTAAAGTGTGTTATTCACGGACAAAATAAGAAGTTCTTGATGAAAGGGTGAAATAAATGAGTTAGTCGCAAGAACTGAGGCACTGACTTATGCAGTTGCGAAAAGAGAGCCTGAAAAACTTCAGGCTTGCCGGGATTCGAACCCTTACCGGCTTTGCTTACGGATGCAGCGTTGTAACAAATTTGAGCTAGCCAGTCAAGTGGGAGCTGGTCATTAAATTGGTTCGTAATAAATCCGGGAGAGTGAAGATGAAGCGATCAATATATGAAGGCTTTATCCTCTCTTCTCCCCTCTTTCATACATTTGCACCCCGGAACGAAAGGATAATCGGTTTTGAAAAGAAAAATTTAAAATAGCAAGTCACAAACCTTTGTTGCTGCTCGTTTCCCATAACACACTCTCCAGTGTCACTGCACTGTAAGTACAATGCTGTCTCGTACGAAAATAAGGTCTGCATACCTCCAGCTATAGTCTTCACCCATAAGCGTGCGGTGAATGTATCCATTGCTTTTAAGTTGACATTTAATACAACATAATTTGAAATATTCTTAGTTGGAAAAAGAAGACTGTAGTTATGGGCTTTTTCTATAAAGATGAAAAGAGCAAAAAGAACAAGCAAAAACTTTAATCATCATCATTATTATTAATTCAAAAGGTTCGTGTTAAATCCCACTACTTATTTTTTATAAGCAACTAGAGTCCATAACATTTGGAGAACTTTTGCAGTAATTTTTACCGAATAACGTCAACAGTAAAATAGTACACCGAAGAAGAGAAGTTTAAACAATGGTTTTAAAATGAATGATTAAAAAACAAATCTTTTTCTTTTCCTACGATATTGTATGTAGACCGAAGGCTCATAGATTTGCAAAACTTTTCACTTCATACTTGGCCTCATCCATATTTCTTTTTATTTGAACAATCCAGTATCTTGGACCTATGACATCATTGACACTGTAGATATTATGCATATAAGTCGGTAGGATGCGCACCGGAAAATTAGTTTTAACAATTATTTTGTTCATGTCTTCACTTGGCGATTACGTATGGATGATTTATTTGAGAGACAAAGGCTATGTAACAAACCTGTCCATAATTCACAGTGGTCGCCGTAAGTTTCTTCCAGGGTACAATCACAAGTGTATTTTGAATCCGCTGAACAGCTTTCTCTACAGCGGGCAAAGTTTTTACACGGATAAAGCAAACAGCCCTACGGACAAATAGTCAGAGAAAAATAATCTTGCTATAGGTGTTGACTAAATAATCCAACGAGGGCTTCGTTCTTATCTCAAACGGATGGAATAAATTTTAAACTCAGGATTGGGAAGTGAGCGCTCGCGTTCCTCTGTAAATTGCCTTGAGTGCTTTCTGACTGGTTCATAAGATTATTATTTCTGATGTGGCTGCCTATGACAATTGCTCAAGACAAGAGAGTACCGCCTTGCGTTTTCTTTGGCTTAGCAGACTGATCATAACAGAGCTCCGCGAGTGCCGAAGGCACATGCACGTCGAGCCCTATGGAACGAAAATGTCGTTAGCCAATTTTCCAAATTATTTGTTTTGTCACGTGATCGCACGTTCGATCGACTTTACATCTGTGTGCACTAGTATTAAAAACTCGGGCCTCAATAATTTTTCTTTTAGACTAGTGTTTTTGAATTGGCAGTAAGGTTTTATTTCTTATACGCGTTCTGGCGACTTATTTGAACTCAGTCAGTCGATTCTTTCCCGTCATTGATGGTTATCGCGTTATTCCCGCATATTTTCATCCTGACCTTTCTTCAAAATCTAAAATATTTATCGGTTACTTGAATAACCGTAAATGTCGTATACAAAAAAAGTAAAAACAAAAAATACTAAACTTCTCACTTTTCAAATTGTTGAAGCTAAGTAGAAGTTTGATAGAAGAATATATATAATAGCTAATAATGTATAGTCTAAGCAAGTTTTAGATTTGCGAATTTCCTTGCATTGGTGCAGGGGGTGAGGTGTCTCCAAGAAAATCGGTGGTTCAGTCCGCCAGCCAGTATGACGTCACGTCTCGCTTCAGTAACTTTCAAAATGGCGAGCAAAGTGTTCATCGAAGAGACGGATAAAACTTTCGAATTTATCACGGAAACACAGTTCCGATTTCTTGGATTTGGAGATTTTAAGATCCCTATTGTCATAGAAAACCAAACTTTGGTACCTTTTTAGAATGAAACGTCCAGTGGTGTAATGAATTTTAAAGATTCCTTTGTATTGTCGAGCAAATTTTACGGGCAATCAAATTAAAACGACCAGTTATACTTTTTAGGGCCAGTGCACTTTATATTTTGTGTATTTTCAGCTCCTCAGAGCTATCGGAACCCCATATCAATCCTTTCAAAGTTCGCTTATAGCTGTACCGTTGAAAGAGGAAGCTAAATGCCAAGGTATTGTGAGAGACTGTGGGCATTAAATCTTGCTCTTTATCCCATTTTCATACTGTACTGGGCCTACATACACCTGTAATTCAGTAATGAATTCCCGAAAACTAATGAAATGTTACGTTTAATTATTGTTGATTAAGACGACGTACAAATGGCAAGTTTAAATTTCGCCAGTGGGTTTTTAGTGTAAATTAGTACAGTTTGTGGTGTCAGTAGTGTGTGTTGTTTGTCACGGATGTCAACTAACATCAAGAGAAAAATACAGCTGTTTCAGAGGAGGGACATGTCTTGACAGCTTATGTTTTTTTCTGGCCGTAAGCTTGGCCAGTATGCAGATCAAGAACTTTTGAAGTAAAACTCTCCTAACTTAAGCTTAAAATATATATTGATAAAAGTGCGTGATCAGCAGGGTGGGCAGTAAGAATAAAGGAAAACAAGAGAAAAGGATTGTGTATTAAAAAAAAAACTAAACAGGAAAAAAAAAAGAACAGCACAAAGTAACAGAAATCAGCGTCGCCGGGAGTAGAACTCGGTTCATCTGGCCTTGCAAGCAAATCCTTGACCACTGCACCACAGTGCCACACATATTTTGTTGAAATAAATATGTAATATCAAAACCATTTTCTCTTCCATAGACGCTGTTTGAAGCTGGTAGAGCTAAATTTATCATAAATTCACTGGGACATTTGAGGAAAATAAGCTTAAGCGCGTATTTCAAAGCTATTTCGCATTATTTCGGGTTCAACGGGCCGATCGATGTGGGTCCATCAAACTAGCTTTAATGAATTTGGTAGCGAATTAGGAAATAAACAGAGGCCCCCACTCGAAAGGATTGATATGAGGTTAGGTCGGTTTAATTAGCGAAAGAATAGATGAAATATAAACATGTGTGATCTGTGAACGAAACCTCCTCTTCTGGAGACTAGACCTTACCTATGTACGACACAAAATATCAAAATCGCTTACACAAGCAGATTATGCCAACAACAAAGCTCAC